TTTTGGAACCACTAAGTGACTCAGGAAGTTATGCCCCATTTTTCAAGAGTGATTTTAGAGTTTAGGACCTTAAATACTTTTGACTTTCTATAAGATTTAGGGAAACCTTCTCCAGATCACCTCTGTGACTCAGTGCTCAATGTGGAAGCAGGTAACTGGAAAAAATAGCCTGTGGGGGCTAAGGCTGAGGTAGGTGTGGGCCAATACCAGCCTCTGGGCCTCACATGGTGCACCTGAATTAACCCCGGTTGGGCCCCCACACTGCTGGGCCCCCACACTGCTGGGCTATATTTACCTGCACCTCTGCAGGTACTGGGGAATCCAAGTTCCCATTGGCTGCTGATTGCTCTGATCCTTGTGTCCCTTTCCCTTCAGTTACACATGTCAGTGAGGGGGTGTGACACTGTGTGTAGTGTGGGGTACCTTGCTGGTTGCTATGCTGGGCAGTGAGTTGGGAGTGACCTCCACTGGCTGCTGTCTGCAGCAGGGCCCAGCAGGGCAGGGGAAGAGTCATTTTTCAAGGGGGCTTCGAACCTGTCTGATGAGTTATCTCCCAGGGAGCAGAACAATGGGAAGAAGGGGAGTGGAGCCCTGGCTGGGGGCAGGGCTGGAAGTGAAGTATTTAGGTTTCTGGCTGGAATCATGGAGGAGGCAGCCTAGGGAAAGTGGCTGGGATTTGGGGGCCCAGGCTCCCCCATCTCAAGGGGGCTGAGGCATCCTAGGCCTGCCCCGTAACCAGATTACATCTGTGCCGTGCTGTATCCTGGAGAATCAATAAACTCCCTCTATTCTACTGGCTGGGGGAATCTGTCCGTACCATTACGGGGGTGCAGGAGAATAGAGGAAGTTTATTGCCTCTCCAGGATACCACACAGCACAGATGTAATCTGGTCACAGAGCTGGGCTAGGATGCCTCAGGCCCCCTTGAGATGGGGGGAGACTGGGCCCCTAAACTCCAGCCCCTTTCCCTAGGCTGTCTCCTCCATGCTCCCAGACAGCAACTAACTCCCACTCTTCCAGCCCTGCCCCCCAGCCAGGGCAGCATTCCCCCTTCCTATGTTCCTCTCCATGGGGGGTGTCTGGTTCAACAGTTGCATAGTGACTCATCCTGTTTTGCTGGGTCGTGGTCCCCACGACAGCCAGTGGGGG